TACAGACATTGGCACCAGAGTACCTAGCGAGACCAGTGCTGTCACCTACTGTTCACTTACGCAATGAACGCAGCAATGGCGATAGTAAGGGCACATCAACTTCGGGGTACACGTCGGTAATCGATGTAGTTATCCGTAATATAAGTAAGAGGCACGCAGAGTTCCGTTTTCACCGTTTACAATTTTACGTTATTTTCCCCCCGCCTAGCCCAAGGCAAGCTTGCGAAGCGTGACTTGCAGAAAACAAAAACCGCCGGGAAGGAAAACCCGTAATCGCAGTCACGACGATTTCCAAGAACAATTTGTCATTCGTGCTCACGCCTTTTTTAAAAATCCCTATAACATGAGCATCACAGCTAAACCTACACAGTATGCGACCGGCACTGCGGTCGACAATGAATACTCGAACGATCAAATAGCCTTACTAACGATAATTAAATACGTAATTAGAAGCTTAATACGACAACGACAGCAGAAGATTTTTCACGTACGACCGGCGGGACGCCGCTCGCGGTACGAGATGCGCACGGGCTCTCGCCGTCTCGTTTACAATGATTTTACATTCGATATCCATTCCGAACGAGGTGGTGCGGGCTATACAGAACTAGCAAGATGATACTAGAGGGATGTTGTGCGTGCGTGCGTGCGTGAGGGATGTTGTGCGTGCGTGCGTGCGTGCGGGATGTTGTGCGTGCGTGCGTGCGTGAGAGAGAGAGAGAGAGAGAGAGAGAGAGAGAGAGAGAGAGACTCTAAAGTGAATTTCTCTCTTGATGTTAAATGCGGTACTTCTTACGCAGTCCGTCTTCGTTATAGTCCCTTGAACTTTGAATACTAATATTTACGAGGTTACGAAGTACTTTTATCATGTCCGGACCGCGGAATTTCGTCCATTTTATTTAAATTTATGCTCTCAATGACAATCTCATATCTCGCAACCTATGCGATAAAATGCATACCCTTCCATTCACACTCTTTGCGCCTTAACTCTACTATGCGCAATAAATGTATAAAAGTGACATCGGGTCTCTTAAATATGTTGTATTAATTGTATTACTGTAATGACTAGGTAATGCCTCATTGCCTGGCTGCCACAGCAAGTCTGCAACTTGCAAACCTATCGAAATGATCGGCCTTTGTCGGTTGACACCACGCCGCGTTCAATGTCTTGTATATAACACACACACAATTTAAGACTTATTAGCGATGGCTAAGACAGATATCGAGGAGATTATAAGAACTCTATAATTTCATACATTTTCGCTAACAACGCGGCGTACAAATATGCCAGTTCGTAGTTAGCAAGGGTTGTGTGACGTCACAGGTCACCGGGTCATTTGTGACAAAAATCGATGAAATCTCGAGTGCGGTGTGCGCTCTCGGTTCAGTACGTATATGTGCATGTGTTCTGTGTACGTCTACACGCACGCATGTGTACGTGCACACACACGCGCGCACGCACGCACGCACCTGTACGTGCACACGCACGCACGAACGCACCTGTACGTGCACACGCACGCACGCACGTGTACGTGCACACGCACGCACGTGTACGTGCACACGCACACACGTGTACG